AATCCCGACCGGAACCAGTTACAAGAAATCGCGCTGTTTTAACGTTTCAATGGCTCTGGTGGGTAGAAGCACCATCCACAATGTTTCTGATAATTTTTTATGGTAGCTTTGCAAGTTTTCTCGCGAAGATATGGCAGAATAAAGGTACTGGTTTCGGTCGGGATTCCTGTTTTCTTCTCCCGGAGCCGAGACCGAATAGGGTCTATTCAATGGAGCGCTGCCCGGAACTAAGAAGAACAAAAGCGGAGCGGTGGTGGAGGTGGGCGCGTGGAGGAGCGGAGTGTGGAGGGGAGCCTCCCCGCCCGCCCCGACCCACCGCTCTCTGTATCCGTTTTTAGCCCGCTCTTTTGCTTAAAAACTGTATCAGCGAGCTTATGCCATCTCCCTTGTGTCTGTCTGTCTGTCAGTCTGTCCGTTCCCCAAGAAGGGACTTCTGAAATTTTTAAGGTATTATTGTTGTCACTTCTGGACAACGAAACGGTTGGTGCAAATCCTGGCAACCACCCCTGAGTGGGTCTGAGGGGGTAACAAAGAAACACGTGTTGGCCCAAGAAGTAGGAAAAAAAAAAATTATTTGTCTCCCAAGGGGTGTTTTGTGAAAGAAGAGTCCTCTGCGCTAAAATTTCGTGTTTGGCTCCCACCGTTGAGACGCTAGAGAGAGTTTCTCTCACAAAAGTGGCCCAAAAATAAATGTATCGCAGGGTTGCCAGCGACTCACTTTTCTCACTTTTTTTCACTATTTTTAAAATGACTCACTTTTTGCTACTATTTTGTGGAAACAGTCACTATTTGTCACTTTTTCGGAGGTCAAGACGGTAAAATGACCATTTTACCGCGTCCTGTGAGAAATTTCGTCAGTTTTGTGCAGAAACGTGTTTCAAATTGTCGCTGCTAGTGACTGAGATGAAAGTTAGTATGTGTTCACCGATTGACCCGTACAGAAAACTGCTGAATGACGCATGCCGACCACTAGAAAATAACGCGGCTCGTATTTAAGTCTTTGTGGAACATTTTCTAACTGAGCTCTCAGAGCCTGTATGTGATAGGGTTCAGAGACGTCTGACGACACTGAAAAAGACGTCAACTTGTACACTCCTAGAGAACTTTTGTGCAGAACACTATTACATGATGTAGTCTCGTTTAATTGAGAATTTTTACGGGGAGTTCGATGGTGACTTCGAAAATTTAATCTGAGAACTTAGAAAATATTCCAGAAAAAGTGTGGGTCATCATTCAGTGATCGACAATACCAAGTTTTCAGTGATAGTCTTCTGTCCTTGTGCTTTATTTTTTTTTTTACACTCAATCTTAAGTCACGATGAATGTGTGCAAAATATGACCCATACGTTCCAAATTATAAACTTTTTAGACGTGAAAAGTCACTTTTTTGTCACTTTTTTGAGATCAGGGAAGTCACTATTCTACTATTTTAAACCCTTTTGGGCGCTGGCAACCCTGATAACTCGAGAACGAATTGAGCTAGCGACCTGGGATTTTCAGGATCGTTTTGTGTCATAAAAAGACAGATCAAGCTCGAAGAAGAGCATTCTATAGAGAGACACAACTAGGAGCGAGCTTTTCTTATGGGAGCTCTTCTGAACTACTACCTCCTCAGCTACCCCCGCAACACATGGGCCGGCTGGGTCCCGCCTATCCCTTTGCGTGGACCCTCGGAAGCAGGTATAGCCAGCCACCACCGCAGCAACATCCTGCTCCTGGCTGTGTCTCCCTATAGCTCAAAAATTGGATTTAAAAAAATTAACCAAGATTATTAGTCGATCATTAATTAATCTGACCAACTTAAGTTTCCTAGATATTTGGCTGCAGTGTACAGCTAACTCAGTAGTTAATGTAATCGTTATAGTATTATAATGCCAACGTTCACATTAAAACCTAAGGGGGCCGTTAACGCGTTAGCGTTAGAATGTTTATGGGGTAACGTGTAAAAAAAGGGTTCTACGGGCTAAAATTTCGTCCGTTTGGCTCTATCTCTCACCGTTTAGGCCCTATAGGGAGTTTTTCTCACCAAAGTGGCCATAAAATATATATATTATTTTAAGAAATTATTTGATGGTCTACAAAGGGTATAAACCCTGAAAGAAGAACCCTCTGGGCTAGAATGTCGTCCGGTTGACTTTCACTGTTCACTTATAAGAGGGAATTTTTCTTACCTAAATTGTTAAGACAGTATCTTTTTCAATTTTTTTTCAGCTGTACACTTTTGTCTGAGAAGTGGCCTATGCCGTCGGTTCAAAATTTTCTTTTTTAAGCAGAAGAGTGGGCTTATTTCATGGTGGCACATCATATAAAACGTGTACACTACCATGCCAAAAACACAACAACACACATTTATTTGTTTGTTTTGTTGTACTTAACAAGCTGCTTCCGTTCAATCAGTAACTAGGTAGATGTACGCCAGACCACGTCTCGCGTAACAGGCTTCGCGATATCTCACGAAACACTGTTACGCTGCGACGCGCCTGGCATACATCTACCTAGGCGGCCTGCGGCGCTGACACCCGAGTCGAGGAAAAGTCGTAAGTAGGCATTCAGCCCCAACAGTCACAAATGTTGTTCTTTGGGGTTTTATTTTAAAGAGTTACCCTACCGGAGACCATCAAATATCTGAGAAAAAACATAGAAATATTTTGCGGTCATTTTCGTGTGGAGAAATCCCTCTGGTGCCTAAACGGTTAAAGATAGAGCCAAATAGACGAAATTTTCGCCCCAAGGACTCTACTTCGATGAGTTACCCCTTGGGAAACAGTAAACTAGTTAAACGTACGCCAGACCACGTCTCGCGTAACAGGCTTCGCGATATCTCACGAAACACTGTTACGCTGCTACGCGCCTGGCGCACATATAGCTAGGCCTGCGGCGCTGACACCCGAGGCAAGTTAATAGGAGTGTATGTACAATTTCTCGATTTTAATAGGGTGTTCCAGGCTATCCAGAACGGAAGTGAAAAAGAACAAACTCACCGATTGATCTGTTTCCGTCTGCTCAGTATGAGAAATTACCATGGTAGTTTAGTCCGATTCTAACCTCTCAAATATGGAGGCAAGCTCGAAACTGACCTGACAGTTTTACATACCTGAAACGCCGTCGTGGCACGTGATCAGCTCTACCAATCAGAGTCATCACGGAAACAGACAGGTCAGTGAGTTTGTTCTTTTCCTACTTCCGTTTTGGATAGCCTGGAATACCCTATTCCTTTTTTAAACGATTTAATAGACCATTTGGCCATTTTCACCTTATTTTCGCCAAGAAATGCCCCCTAGCACCCAAACGTTACAAGATAGAGCAAAACGGACGAAATTTTTGCCCAGAGAGTCCTATTTTGACGAGTTACCCCTTAGGAACCCATAAAAACATATTTATGAAACAAAACGACCCTGAAATTCCCAGATCGCTATCTCAATAAAGCATTCCGGTAACACTGAAATGCAGAAGAAGGTGGGGAACGAGAAAACGGAAGTCACCATGTGCAAGCATTGCGATCTCCGTTTTGTTGTTCCCCGCATTCTTCTCCTTTTCAGCTTTACCGGAATGCTTTATTCCTTCTCGAGTTATCGTGCGGACAGACAGACAAACAAACACACAAACAGAATGAAACTTTTGGGGTCAGTGGAGTAATGGGCTTCGCTAATCGCTCAGCCAAAAAAAATATTTGAAAAAAAACGTCATTTTGAGGACCTGTGGTTTTAGAATTTTTAAAAATCCAATTTTCGAGCTAGAATGCTCTTCTTCGAACTCGATCTGTCTTTTTATGACACAAAACGACCCTGAAAATCCCAGGTCGCTAGCTCAATAGGCTATTCCGCTCGACGCGGTAAGAACACAAGAATCACATAAGCCGAGGGTGGGGGTAGCGAGGCGGCTTCTCCACCCGCCCGCGCTCCCCCGCGCCGCTCCCCCCACCCTCGCCCTTAGTGATTCTTGTGTTCTTCTTACCGCGTCGAGCGGAATAGCCTATTTGTTCTCGAGTTATCGTGCGCACAGTCAAACACACAGACAGACTGACAGACAGACAGACAGACAGACAGACGCGAAACTTTTTGATCATCACTGGAGTAATAGGCTTCGCTATCGCTCAGCCAATAGGGTATTCCGCTGCAAGCCAACCGGAACCTGAAGAAGAAAAGTATGACTGCCTGATCTGTTTCCTCCTAAACGCTGATTGGTCAACGATGACCTTGTCATGCCGGTCAGCCAATGGGCCCGCAGAGGGAAGTAGATCGAGCAGTCATGCTTTTCTTCTTTAAGTTCCGGTTAGCTTGCAGTGGAATACCCTATTATAGCGGACACGTTCGGAGTTAGTTCAGAGTATGCCTGGAAGTATATTTAACTCCTTCTGGGTCTAGTCTTAAATATATTTCCATACGTGTGTTATTGGATCGATAAGCTAACATCATAAACATAAAAGGGATTTGGCATAACTTGCATGCATTCTACAGACTGCGGCACACACAGCCAAAGATGTTGAGCGTATGAAAAGAATGCTTCGTTTGTTGCGGTTTGATTACGAAGTAGACAGCAACGGTACCTAGCAAAAAGATTGTTCAAAGCAAGCCGTCACTCAAACGAAGCGTTATTACACCATGAGAAATCAGAAGGGACGGGACGAAGGCGAAGGCCCGTCCCTAACGCCGCCGGCAGGCCAAGCTAGGCCCGCCCCCTGCCGAACCGACTTGCCGGTGGAGCGAAGCGGAGTTGGCAACTTGGTTTGGCGGAAGAGCGGGCCTAGCTTGTTGTTCTTCTTAGTTTCAGGCAGCGCTCCATTGAAATACCTTATACCCTATGTCCTATTCTCGATGCGCCCAACGAATCCATTACCAATCAATCTTTTCGGTTAAAGCCCAAATGCAAAAGGATGCAGTGAAGAACAAAACGGAAATCTCTATGTCTTGTTCCCTGCATTCTTCTGTATTTCAGCTTTACCTGAATAGTTTCCTGCGCTAAGGCTGAAATGAAGAAGAATGCGGGGATCCAGAAAACGTAAGCGACCATCACCATTGTTGTCATTTCTGTTTTCTTGATCGTTTCCTGTTCTCGTCTTCACTTCAGCTTCACCTGAATAGTGAACTCCCTATGCCTGCCTGACCCAGTCCGCACGACGTCACCGATCTGCCGGGCCGCCGCGGAGCCTTTGCCGCTTGAGCGACGCGCGTCGCTACGTCCCCTGCCTTCCACCCCGCAGCCCACCTGATCCTGCGCTTGCTGGTCCGCGTTGCTGTGGCCCGTTCTGTAGTAAGTAAATGTCCTCCGTTGGCTGAGCGACATGGGTTCAGAAATAGAATGGAATCACAAATCGCGGGAACCCCCGGCGGAACGAGACTTGTGTGCGAGCCGTTGGTGTACAAGAGCGATAATGCATTCCGGTAAAGCGGAAACGAAGAAGAATGCGGGGAAAAAGAAAACGGAAATCGGTATGCTTTGACATGGCGACTTCCGTTTTCTTGTTCCCCACCTTCTGCATTTTACTGTTACCGGTGATGATCAATAAGTTCCGCGTCTGTCTGTTTGTCATCACGATAACTCGAGAACGGATTGAGCTAGGTACGTGTAATTTTTATTTAAACTTTTTGCCTTATAAAGCAAAAACTTTACACGGTACCCTGCTCCGAGCGCGCGGAGCCGTCAGCGTCGCAGGCGTGTCACAGCGTAACAGTGTTACGTGAAATATCGCGAAGCCTGTTACGCGAGTTGTGGTCTGGTGTACATCTTCCTATTTAAAGATTGCTCTTTCTGTTTTCGGCCGTTTTTAGCCCGCTTTTTAGCCCACCCTTCTGCTTTGAAAAAGCTATCCAGCGGGCTTATGCAAACGACCTCGTGTATGTGTGTCTGTCTGTCTGTCTGTCTGTCTGTTACACTAGAAGGAGATGTGAGCTAGAGGTTTAAAATTTTCAGGGTATTATTGTTGCCACTTCTGGACGACAAAACGGTTGGTGCAAATCCTGGCAACCACCCCTGAGTGGGTATGAGGGGGTAACAAAGAAACACGTGTTGGCCCAAGAAGTAGGAAAAAAAAAAATTATTTGTCTCCCAAGGGGTGTTTTGTGAAAGAAGAGTCCTCTGCGCTAAAATTTCGTGTTTGGCTCCCACCGTTGAGACGCTAGAGAGAGTTTCTCTCACAAAAGTGGCCCAAAAATAAATGTATCGCAGGGTTGCCAGCGACTCACTTTTCTCACTTTTTTTCACTATTTTTAAAATGACTCACTTTTTGCTACTATTTTGTGGAAACAGTCACTATTTGTCACTTTTTCGGAGGTCAAGACGGTAAAATGACCATTTTACCGCGTCCTGTGAGAAATTTCGTCAGTTTTGTGCAGAAACGTGTTTCAAATTGTCGCTGCTAGTGACTGAGATGAAAGTTAGTATGTGTTCACCGATTGACCCGTACAGAAAACTGCTGAATGACGCATGCCGATCACTAGAAAGTAACGCGGCTCGTATTTAAGTCTTTGTGGAACATTTTCTAACTGAGCTCTCAGAGCCTGTATGTGATAGGGTTCAGAGACGTCTGACGACACTGAAAAAGACGTCAACTTGTACACTCCTAGAGAACTTTTGTGCAGAACACTATTACATGATGTAGTCTCGTTTAATTGAGAATTTTTACGGGGAGTTCGATGGTGACTTCGAAAATTTAATCTGAGAACTTAGAAAATATTCCAGAAAAAGTGTGGGTCATCATTCAGTGATCGACAATACCAAGTTTTCAGTGATAGTCTTCTGTCCTTGTGCTTTATTTTTTTTTTTACACTCAATCTTAAGTCACGATGAATGTGTGCAAAATATGACCCATACGTTCCAAATTATAAACTTGTTAGACGTAAAAAGTCACTTTTTTGTCACTTTTTTGAGATCAGGGAAGTCACTATTCTACTATTTTAAACCCTTTTGGGCGCTGGCAACCCTGATGTATCGTTTTTAGAAAATATTTGATAGTCTCCAAGGGGTAAATCGTGAAAGAAGAACCCTCCAAAATGTCGTCCGTCTGGCCTTTACTGTTTACTTAAGAAAGGGAGTTTTTCTTACCAAAATGGCCAAAACAGAAATATTTCTATTTTTCAGGAGTACACTTTTGTCTAAAAAGTATGCCGTCGGTTCAAAATTTTCTTCTAAGCAGAAGAGTGGGCTTACTTTATGGTGGCACATCATTAATAAAATGTGTACACTCCCATGCAAAAAAAAACAAACAACAACAATAAAACAAACATTTATTTCGTTGTTCGGACACGTTCGGAGTCATTCAGAGTATGCCTGGAATGTATAACTTCTTCTGGGTTTGGTCTTACATATCTTTCCATAGGTGTGTAATAAAGCATTCCGGTAAAGCTGAAATGCAGAAGAATGCTTAATTTGGTTTGGCGGAAGAGCGGGCCTAGGTTGTTTATTCTTTTCAGGGCTCATACCGTTTAGGGAAATTTAGGTTGGCCAGGGAATATTTTTAACCCCGGTTGTGTTGTTCTTCCGGACACGCTAGAATGGCGATAGGGTATAGGGTATAAAGCATTCCGGTAAAGCAGAAATGCAGAATAATGCGGGGAAGAAGAAAACGAAAATCGCTATGCTCCAACATGGTGACTTCCGTTTTCTTGTTTCCCGCATTCTTCTGCATTTCAGCTTTACCGGAATGCTTTATTGCATGGTGGTGGTCTTACCTCTCCCTTGATGCTAATGAAGTTATTTTTCGCCCGCAGACTACCGACGCTCGGCGTACACTATGGAGTTGTTCGTAACAATTTTAACCGGTAAGTGGTTTTCGTTCGTCGTTGTGGACTAGTTGGCACAGTGCCCCATCTCGAGTGATCATACGACACCTCTTAATCTGCCAACGCTAGCACGGTGAAAACAATGTCTGTTTTTTAAGGGAAAAGGGAAAACTTTCAGGAACTTCTTGCTTTGAGGAAAGCTCCGATTTCGAGGAAGTCAAAAAAAAAATGTGAGTCTTTTGCTTACATTTTGAGAATGTTCCTCTATGTTTGAGACGAAATCTGATGACTCTTCCTCAAGTATGAGACTTCTTTTAAGTTTTCCGTTTTTCTAAAGAAAAAACAAACAAAAACAAGCAGGCCCGCCCTTCCGCCAAACGAAGCGGGCCTGCTTGGCCTGCCGGCGGCGATGGTCGGGCCTGCGGCCCGACCATTTCTGTCACGCGATTTGCTGAAGAACATGATCGAATGATGTAACGGGCCTTCGGCCCGCTTAAACCCGTCATCTTTGAGTTTGCCCCTAAGACTCGAGAAAGGGATGTAACGGTGAAGCACCGCGACTACAACCCACCCTTCTGCTTAGAAAACGTTTTCTGGGGTGGGGGGGAGAGTTTCTTTTCTTTTTTGCGGTTTTTAAGCCTTTTTCTACAAGTCATTGTTCACTATGGCAATTTTTAGCTTATTTTCGTCTAAAAAGACCCTCTAGCGCCCAAACGGTTAGAGATAGAGCGAAACGGATGAAATTTTCGACCAAGGGGCTCTACTTTGACGGGTTACCCCTTAGGAGATCATCCAATATTTTCGGGAATTAATAAATTTATATTTGGGCCACTTTTGTGAGAGAAACTCTCTTTCTAGCGCCCAAACGGTGAGAGATAGAGCAAAACGGACGAAATTTTCGGCCTTAGGAGGTCTACTTTCAGAAGTTACCCCATAGGAGATGTTAAAGTAAAATATTTTTTCCAACTTTTTTGGCCATTCCTGTTTTCTTCGATAGACCCTTTCAGCCCCTTAGGGGTGGCTGGCAGGATTTGCCGTAGGCGTTTTGTTTTGTGGGAGTGAACCTTGAGATCCCCTGAAAATTTGAAGTCTCTAGCACATCTCTTTCTTGTGGAACAGACAGACAGACAGACAGACACACAGACAGACACGAGGTCGTTTGCATAAGCCCGCTAAGGGGTAACTTGAGAGGGTTGAGCCCTTTCGACAAAAATTTCATCCGTTTCGCTCTATCTCTAACCGTTTGGGCGCTAGAGGGTCTTTTTAGACGAAAATAAGCTAAAAATTGCCATAGTGAACAATGA